ATCATTTTTCTAGCTGCTCAGGTCAAAACTTTAAGTCACCCTTAACTTTTTTTTCCTCACACTCCTCACCCAATTCATCAAAAAATCCTGTCAGCTTTATATACCTTTTAGAATACATCCAAAATGCGACCAATTTTCAACATTACTACTACCATTCTAGTATAAGCCAATGCTATAATCACTTCACAGGGAGCAATAGGTTCCTTAAAGGACTTGCTGCCCTTCACTCAATTTGTTTTGTTAAAATGCAAGGTAAGTTAATAGCACCTCTTAAACCCAACCATGGCTTCACACTTCACTCTGCACATAGGTTAAAGTCCTAAACAAAGCTGTAAAAACCTCAACACAATTTGTCCCCACAACTATTTCTCTGACTTCACCTCTTCCTACTCTCTTTCTCACATACCTCTTATCTAGCAACAAAAATTCGGGAAAAAACTGAGTAGTAGAAAGGTGGCAATGATTTACTTTGTAATAATATCATTTCAATAATGAGTATTGCCTGTATGAAGACAGCCACTTTATTTGTATATGTGGTTCAGCAGTACTTACCATAAAATGTCAAAAATTAAGATAGGGATTTAGCCCTTTAAGAATATCTGTAATGAGGCCAGGAGTGGTGGCTCATGCCTGTAACCCCAGCACTTTGAGATGCCCAGGCAGAATGATCACCCAAGGTCAGGAGTTTGAGACCAGCCTGGCCAACATGGCAAAACCCTGTCCTACTAAAAATACAAAAATTGGCTGAGTGGGTGCCTGTAATCCCAGCTGCTTGGGAGACTAGGGCAGGAGAATCGCTCGAACCCTGGAGGCAGAGGTTGCAGTTAGCCAAGATCATACCACTGCACTCCAGCCTGGGCAACAGAGTAAGACCTCCGTCTTAGAGAGAGAGAGAGAGAGAGAGAGAGAGAGAGAGAGAGAGAGAGTGTGTAAAATGAATCTTCCCAGAAAACTATACAAGGTAAAAATTTTACACACCATTTCAAGACTATCATTGTGTAATAAAAACCTATTCATGAAGCTTCATGTAAACAAACATGAAATATCCAAAGGATAGAGAACAGAACAAAAAATTGACACTAACATCTAGCTGTAACAAAAGATTGGGAATGTCAAGGTGGGCAAGTTGGATTTTTGAATAATGTTTTCTGGTTTCTTTTGTTTTCTCTTGATCAGATTCCTGGATTACCCACACTCACAACCAGAGACCTGTTTAAATTTAACCTGAACCTTAATTTCAGAGTCTTGTGGAAGTTCAGAGCTCTGCCTATTGAGTCTCAGGGCATCTTTCCTCACATTTCTCTGTTTCCACACACTGGAATCCAAACCTAATTGTCTCACCAGCTTCTACCAAAAATAAATAAATAAATAAAAATCGACTCCCAAATCATTTTTACTAGAGAAAACTTCTAAGAATTTGGTGAGTAAAGAGAGTCATGTCATGAAATGTGGCATTCTGCCATCCTGCTGGCTCTACTACCACTTATCTCAAGCTTGTCCAACCTGCGGTCCATGGGTCACATGCAGCCCAAGATGGCTTTCAATGTGGCCCAACACAAATTTGTAAACTTTCCTAAAACATTATGAGACTTTTTTTGTGAATTTTTTTTAAAGCTCATCAGCTATTGTTAATGTATTTTATGTGTGGCCCAAGACAATTCTTCTTCCAATATGGCCCAGGGAAGCCAAAAGATTGAACACTCCGATTTATCTCTTTCTATTTCTTGCTTCCTTTCTCTGGTCCTAAGACAATTTTTCTTAGTGTTACAAAAATAGTTCCTTCTAAAATCAGGTCTCTGTATTTTAATTTGTACTCCAAAGCACCTTCACAAATAAATACAGTTCTCTTCCTAAAAAGAATGATATTGAGTAAAATTTTCTCAAACTTATAATAAATATTAAGTAGAAATTTTTAATGATATATTTTAAATAAGAAAAATTTAAATCACTGGTAGAATTGCACCACCAGACATAAATGTCAGTATTTTGGTATGTGTCTTTCTAGTCTTCCCCTCTACAGTGAATGATAAATTCAAAAGGAATCATCACTTCTATCCCAATTTCTATGCCAAGATATCAAAATATGGACAAAAGGTTTCAGATAGCTCTTCTTTGAAACATATTTTTTTAATGTAAAAAGCACGCACAAAAAAAAAACAGAAGAGGAATTCCATCTCCAAATGTTTTACATGCCATCTCTATTACTCAAAACAAGGATCACCTGTATCTGGTGAAATCCTTTCGACTTCAATGTTCACATACAGATAGTACTGTTTTCACACTATACGTGGCAATGGTAACATACTGAAAAGCATAACAACTTGAGTAATGGACAACTGTATATTAAATGACCACCCATGATTCCTTTTAAAAGCTGAAAAAATCTAGTTCTGTCATCAACCATGGGCCCAAATAAAGTTTCACCAAGCATTCATAACAATTAGAAGAAAACACTCCAAATGGGAGCAAAATGGCTCTAACTGAAAAAATCCTCTACTAACAGGATGATTCTTGAGATTTTCTATGGTAGAAATATTACTTAAAAGTGTATTTCCAAAGTACTTCTGTAACTTTCTACAAACCAGTGTCAATACTGAAATGTGGATATAGGTTGAGTTTTCTTTGTACCCCTTTGCTAACCTATAATAAATCTTTAGAAGCTATCAAAACGAGATTACTCCTTTAAAGGTACCATCTGGAGTAAAATTCTGTGACTGTAGTAGTCATCGTCAGTATGCTTTCTTATAATTTCTCAAGTAAATCTAGTAGTTACTCAAAGAACATCTCTCCCCTCTGAGGTGTTTTTTTTTTTTTTTTTTTTGAGACAGGGTCTTACTTTGTTGCCCAGACTGGTGTGCAGTGGTGTGATGATGGCTCACTCTAGCCTCCAACTCCTGGGCTCAAGCAATCCTTCTGACTCAGCCTCTTGAGTAGCTAGGACTACAAGCGTACACCACCACACCCAGCTAACTTTTTTATTTCTTGTAGAGATGGGGTTTCACTATGTTGCCCAGGCTCATCTTGAAGTTTTGGGATCAAGTGATCCTCCTGCTTTGGCTTTCCAAAGTGCTGCAATTATAGGCATAAGACATCACTGCACCTAGCTGAAATATTTTTTTTAACAGCAGCAGGGGTAAGAACCTGACCATCAAGAGTTTGCTGAAATCCTACCCCTAATGCATAAAACAAAAGTATTATAGAAAAATATCTAGGCCTTTATAACGTTATTGTAAGTATTTCAAGGATCTCTGACCTGAAAAGTTAGATTTTAATTCTCAATGACTTGCTCACACTAAGTTCTGTCATGACATTTGCCTATTATTTGAATAACTGTTTTCAAATTTCATGGATTATAAAGAGAGGAAAATTTTTTGTCTTTCTTACATATCTACTTTACCTATGGTTTTACACATATGGTTCGTCTAACATAATAATTAACGCAGTAAGCACCATGAAAATTCCTTCTGCCCTGCACAGATAAGGTAAGCTTTAAATGTTAAAGTAAACCATCTTATTTCTGTATTTAAGAAAAGTACATTTTGCTTTAAAAGGTAAAGGCTCTTTTCAAATCAACATAGATTTAATATGTTATTATAGAATACTATAAGCAAATTTCTTTGAAAAGATGGGACGGGTGTGGTAGCTCATACCTGTAATACAGGCACTTTGGGAGGCCACAGCAGGCAGACTGCCTGAGCCTAGGAGTTCAAGACCAACCTGAGCAACATGACAAAACCCTGTCTCTATTTTAAAAAAAGGCATGGGGGTGCATTTAATAATATTTTCCTTGTAGTACTGACAGAGAAAAAGAAAAGCATTACAAATTCTACTCTATGTTTAAGAAATGAGAAAAACTACTGTAGATAATCTAAACATAAACTCCCATGTCTATATTCATAAATTAATTTTTTGGATAAAGAAATTTGTATATAAATCTGGCTCTTTAGCAAATAAGCATATGAATATTTATTATACTCTCAGGCAGAAACAAGATGCCTAAAACTCTATAGCTAATTCAAACCTAATTCTGTAGGGAAATTTGGAGAGAGGGACCAAGATTAACAAAGCAAATTCCTATATCTTAAAATGAACCTTTTCCAAAGAGACCCTAACAACACTCTCAAATCAGTTCAGAGGTTATCACAGAAATTTAGCTTTTAATTTTAAATGAAAAATTATAATTTCTCTTACAAAAATTATGAAAATAAATTCATGTCAAGAAGATTTAGTAACTACGTTGTAACCATTTTTATTCTTAATTATTTTAAAATATGAGTTTTCAGAGCAATTATTTTTATTCCTCAAGCACTATAAGTCAGCATAACACACAGTAGAATTGAGCATTCATTACTCTAGGAAAGAGTAGAATTCTATGCAGTAAAGTTTTCTAAAATCCAATAATAAAATGTAACTATACTAGATTCTTGGTATTATTTGCTTTTTAAGCTGCTAATCTGAGACCTATTATAATGTTGGGATTAACCTCTAAATATTATAGTATTTAAATTTTCCTAGGCTGTAGAAACTTAAGAAAAATGTTTGCTACCAAGCTTCAGAACAAAACTTAAAAGGCAGTAAAAACCCAACAATAACAACTAAAACAGGCTTATTTACAGGCTTATGAACAATTTTTAGCAATTAACGGACCTATCAACACTTAGCTGTCTAATTTTAGGAGCTAAAAATATATCTCAGTTCTCTTTTATTCCAGTAACTCCATATTCTCTATTACAATATAAGTGCAACAAAAATCTGGAAATATACCAGTTTTCCATGAAACTACAACACATATAAACTAAACACACACACACACACACACACACACACACACACAGACACATGTGTGTATACAGACACACATAAAAGGCTGCATGTTATGCTTTTTTTAGGCAATCTAATTTCAGTTGTGTAATAGTTCCCCTTTTCTTACCTGCCACTGCCTGGTTTAGATGATGCCATAGCCAATGAAGATTTTGCTTTCTGTTTCAAGTGCTACTCACCTGTTTGAACATCAATAACCATCTGATGGCCTCCTCTCATTCCTGGTCGGTTATCTTCTCCATCACCTTTAGTAGAAATAACGGTTTCTTTTAAAGGAATAATAAAGAACAACAGCATACTCAGAGTAAAGTTATTCATAAATCTATAATCAGTAGTAAAAATAACCCACACTTATTCTTTCAAAATATTAAGAATAAAAGAATTCATAGAAGTAACAGTATTACTCAAATCTGTGTTTATAATAATAATCTTGTTCTTTTTTCCAAATGCTTTCAGGATATTAATGAACTTGGAAGTTATTTATTTTCAATTTATGATCAATGCCACAAATCAGCAAAGACATAGAATATTACACAAAAACAAAAATCTCTACTTGAGTGCCAAAGTGAAGGTGAAAAATGATTACAAAATTAGATCTCCTGTATATATTCTAGACATATAGTTCATTAGTATAAGGAGCAGTTTTAAAGATCATAAAACTAGTTCCTGAAAACAAAGATGTTATCAAGTTTTATATTAATATTAATTTTGGATAATGTATACAATTATTTTGTGTAATTTTTGTACAATTTTGTACTTTGTATAATTATTTTATATAACTTTGTATAATGTATAATGTATTAATTTTGTGCCAGTATTTCAGCAATAAGTTCCCACCTAATTTACCAACTATTTTATTTAAGTACTGACTGAGGAAATCTAAGATTTACTTTACTCTGATTCTTAATGAAAGACAGGTTACTAGGTAGGTTTAAATATAATAAAAAAAACTTTTTAAATTTCCAAAGGAGAACCCTATTGTTCAACTTGTAGTTAATCTTACTTTACACCAAATCTTACACAAATAACATTATGGCTGGGTGCGGTACCTCACACCTGTAATCCCAGCACTGTGGGAGACCAAGTAAGTGGATCACCTGAGGTCAGGAGTTTGAGACCAGCCTGCCCAACGCAGTGAAACAGCATCTCTACTAAAAATACAAAAAAATTAGCTGGGTGTGGTGGTGGGAGCCTGTAATACCAGCTATTCAGAAGGCTGAGGCAGGAGAATAGCTTGGACACGGGAGGTGGAGGTTGCAATAAGTTGAGGTTGTGCCACTACACTTCAGCCCGGGCAGCGAGAGCCAGACTCTGACCCCCTGCCCCCCAAAAAAGGTTATAACTTCATTTCAGTAGTTCAAAAGATTATAAGATTTGAATATCTTACTTGATATGAACCAGTAAGCTTAAGGTTTTCTTCATAACTCTTCTATTAAGTGAAATACATTACTCTGGCTAATAAGTTTCCGTGTATTGGCTTTCTCCAAATGTAAAATTGAAAATATCTTATTTTATACTAATTTCACAAAGGTGCTATAAAATGACTGAAATGTCAGTTCTTATATACAGAAAATAAGATACAAAACTGAAGCATTCCATTACTACTGTAGTCAATGGCTAATCATTCAGAAGTTCCCTGAAAATCCTGTCTCCTAATAGTTAAGCCCTTAGATTGTGCAATTTATTATCATTGAAGCTTTGTCTTTTTCTTCTTTCCTTCCCCCATCAGTCAGTATTGCCATTTTTAAGAATAGATTTTAAAAAGCATATTCATCCCTTAGAGGTCTGAGGGAAAAAAGCAAGCACTAAAATGAATTCATTTTCAGTATGTTTGCATTTTACGTATTGAATCCATTAGTTTGCAAATACACAATTACAGTCTGTTTGCTATAATATGTGTGCCTCTGAAGAAAATTATCTCATACATGACTGATTAAATAGGAGAATGATGTTCATGTGACATCAATTATGGAGGTTCTTAAGCCATTTTCCCCTGCATATTAATGTGTAACACTATCAGGAGAAAGCTTTCTCACAACTAAAGAGAAATCCTTAGCAATATATGAAGACCACAATGAAAAAAGCTCAGTATCCATAGAACTGCCTTCCTTTAATGTAAATAGTTGCATTAAGAAATTGCTACACTTTCCACTATGTTAACTATCTGGCAAAGCAGTGAGTACAGATGGAAGAAGTGACAAAAACTTCTCCCATATATGAAAATAATGGATTCATGAAGAAGACTATACTCTGGATCAGATTTCAAGTTTTGATGAAAACAGTCTTTATTAGAAGCGAATGCCCTCCAGGATCTACATTTCAAAGATGGAGGCATGAGCCCACGGCGTAAGTATCTAAACACACTATGATGTTCAATATAAAATACCTTTAAACATATAAATGCACTGATACTTATTTTTATTACAATTATTACACTAGGTTTTTTTTTGACTGGTTTTTTATTGACTAGAGTACAGTGGCGCAACCTCGGTTCAGTACAATCTCTGCCTCCTAGGTTCAAGCAATTCTCCTGCCTCAGCCTCCCGAGTAGCTGGGACTAGAGGCACATGCCAGCACGGCCAGCTAATTTTTGTATTTCTTAGTAGAGACAGGGTTTCACCATGTCTCAATCTCTTGACCTCATGATCCGCCCACCTCGGCCTCCCAAAGTGCTGGGATTACAGGTGTGAACCACTGAGCCCAGCCTATTACACTAGTTTCTATTAGTACCTGATTATAAAGTTTCACAGATTTGGAATGGTCTTTAGTCTTTCTATTTATCTCAGATTCCCCGCTAGGTTTAGCAAACAATTTTGCAGAACTTAAGGTTTTCAGGAACACGCGTATGGCATTACAACACAGCCTATAATTTTACACGGTATCTCTATCAAAGCAGTTTATAATGATACTCTATAAAAACTGCCCAACCTTCTATTATGGCAGTAAAACAAAAAGGTTTAAAAAGATAATTTTAATATAATAAATGAATTTTGCCACCTAGTTAAGGAATGTATGTCTGGTTTTAAACATTTGCTTTTTATTTATTTTGTTGTGGTTGCTGTTTTTGTTTTGTTTTGTTTTTTTTTTTGAGACAAAGTATCACTCTGTTGCCCAGGTTGAAGTGCAGTGGTATAAACACAGCTCACTGCAGCCTCAACCTCCCAGGCTCAAGCTACCCTTTCACCTCAGTATAGTAAGCAGCTGGGACCACAAGTGCCTGCCAACATGTCAGGCTGTGTGTGTGTGTGTGTGTGTGTGTGTGTGTGTGTGTGTGTGTTTCAGATGGAGTCTCGATCTGTCTCCCAGGGAGTACAGTGGTGCAATCTTGGCTCACTGCAACCTCCGCGTCACAGGTTCAAGCAATTCTCCCACCTCAGCCTCCCAAGTAGCTGGGATTACAGGCATGCGCCACCACATCCAGCTGTTTTTTCAGTTTTTAGTAAAGACAGGGTTTCACCATATTGGCCAGGCTGGTCCTGAACTTCTGACTTCAGGTGATCTACCCACCTTGGCCTCCCACAGTGCTGGGATTACAGGCCACCACGCCCAGCTGTCTAGCTGATTTTATGTAGAGATAGAATCTCACTCTGTTGTCCAGGCTGACCTCAAACCCCTGGGCTCAAGCAATCTTCCTGCTTCAGCCTCCAAAAGTACTGGGATTTCAGGCATGAGCCACTGCACCTGGCCAACATCTTTTTTATTAACAGAGTGCTATGACACTTGAACTACCTTGGGAAAACTGAAGACTGAGACAAATAAAGAAAAAGAACTACAATTTAGAGGGTATGGCTTACCCTTGGTACTTTTGGGAATGATTTGACTCCATCGTGGCTTATATTCCTGTTGACTGATATACTGATTGAACAAGCCATCTGTAAATATTGAAGAATGGGAAAGAATCACAGCTTAACTACTTATATCATTATAGAAAAAAATTAGACTTTAAAAGACTACATTGAGAGAAATTACTAATATGTCACTAATACAAAAGCACATTTTCATAAAGTACGCATATTTCAGTTTTACTGTATGTTACCCCAAATATAAAGAGTAAAATATTGATTGACATAAGCATGCAAACAAACTGCTTTAGGGGAAGCTTATATTAAATATACTGTGTTTCCCATCAGTATTGCATTGCACCTATTAGGTACAAAGGCATTGCTGCATTCAATGGACAAGTATGTGACATTTCCAGAGGGTTAGAGACCTTAAAAGGAGAAGGGAGTCAACTGGGAGGGGGAAAAAAGGTTATAAGACAATTTAAGGCTGTAAAATAGGTGCAGGAGAAAATAAAAATAAATAATCTGAATAAATGCTCTACTTCATTGAAAAAAGGTTTATGTATCTTTAAAAAATCATTTCTAGTATTATTATAAGTGGGAAGAGGAATGGATAAAGATTAGGATAATTATATTTTAATTTCTTTTTGTGATCTCCCACCACTTGTCTTTATTTCAACTATGAAATTCTTAATCTTTACATCCTGAATGACATGGCTTCATTGCATCAGAATCTCTTTCCCCTAACAGTGCTTTGTGCCAGTACTTTTTGTCACTCATATCCAAGAAAAATAGAGAAGAAAACAGAGCTCCAACAATTTAGGTCTAGGCCCTTATGATATATTTTCAGGAAAAGGGAACACTAACATGTGAATTTCATTATTATACAGTTTTGAGTACAAAACTACATAGAGATAAAAGTATTAATAGAAGAAATAGAACTATACTTATGGAACACTTACCAAATGTTAGAATTTATGCTGTCTCATCTATTTAATTCTAAAAACAATCCTATGAATTTATCCTATTATCATCTGCATTTTATAAATACAGAATGTGTATTTAGAAAAATTAAGAAACTTAACCAAAATCATACAGCTCTTAAATAGTAGGGTTGGGACTACAGTTCGTTTTTTTTGGGGGGGGGGGGAGGAAAGGAGGACGGTAGGGGGGAAGGAAGGGATGAAGGAAGGAAGGAAGGAAGGAAGGGAAGAAGGGGGGGGAGGGGAGGGAAGGGAAGGGAAGGAAGGAAATCAAGCAATGAGAGAGACATTGCCGACCTGGATCTAGAGGTTTACAAGTTGATTTCTTTTTTTGAGAGAAGGAAAGAAAAAAAAAATAAGTAAAGGAGAGGAAGAAAGAGGAAGAGAAAGAGGGAGAGTAAACAAAAATATTGCTTTATTCTGAAAAAAATTGGGTATTAATAATGGCCAATCAATGTTTCATTTAAACTTATGGGTAGGTGTGATGTAGTATTGACAAAAATGTATATTTTGTGTATTTGAAGTGTGGAGCTCTATAAATATTTATTAAGTTTACTTGTTCCGGATCTGAGTTCGAGTCCTGGATATCCTTATTAATTTTCTGTCTCATTGAGTCTAAGTCTTTATGTATCTGGGTGTTAGGATCGTTAGCTCTTGTTGTTGCATTGATCCTTTTCTATTTTATCTAATATGAGAATTGCAACTCCTGCTTTTTATTCATTTATTATTTATTTTTGCTCTCCATTTGGTTGGTAAATCTTTCTCCATCCCTTTGCTTTGAGTCTTTGTGTATTCCTTGCATGTGAAACAGGTCTGGATGTAACATGCCGTTGGGTTTTGGCTGTATCTTTTGATTGGGGGATTTAGTCGATTTAAATTTAGGGTTACTGCCATTGATGTTAACTGGCTGTTTTATCCATTCGTTGGTGTAAATTCTTCTTTATGTTGGTGCTCTTTACTTTTTGGTGTATTTTTAGAAAGGCTAATACTGGTTGTTTCTTTCTGTGTGTAATGCTTCTTTCAGAAGCTCTTGTACAGCAGGCCTGGTGGTAATAAAATCTCTGAGTTCTTGCTTGTTCATAAAAGATTTTATTTTTCCTTCAGTTGTGAAGTTTAGTTTGGCTGGATATGAAATTCTGGGCTGAAGGTTCTGTTCTTTGAGGATGTTGACTATTGGCCCCCACTCTCTTCTGGCTTGTAGAGTTTCTGCTGAGAGATCTGCTGTAAGTCTGATAGGCTTGCCTTTGTGGGTAACTTGACCTTTCTCTCTGGCTGCCCTTAGTATTTTCTCCTTCGTTTCAACCCTGGTGAATCTAACGATTATGTGCCTTGCGGTTGCTGTTCTTGAGGAATATCTTTGTGGTGTTCTCTGTATTACCTGGGGTTGAATATTGACCTGCTTTGCTAGTTTAGGAAAATTTTCCTGAATAATATCCTGAAGCGTATTTTCTAGCTTGGATTCATTCTCTCCATCGCATTCAGGTACACTTATCAAACGTAAATTTGGTCTTTTCACATAGTCCCACATTTCTTGGAGACTTTGCTCAGTCCTTTTTATCCTTTTTTCTCTAATCCTTTCTTCACGTTTTATTTCATTAAGTTGGACTTTGACCTCTGATATCCCTTCTTCTGCTTGAACAATTTGAGTGTTTAAACCTGTGCATACTTCTCGGAGTTCCTGTATTGTATTATTCAGTTCCATTAATTCACTCATACTCCTCTCTAAGTTGCCTATTCTCAATAGGATTTCATCAAACCTTTTTTCAAAGTTCCTAGTTTCTTTACGTTGGGCTACAACATGTTCTTTTAACTCACCGAAGTTTGTTATTATCCATTCCTTGAAGAGTACTTCTGTCATTGGGATGCGCTCGTTCTCCATCAAGCCTTGTTCCATTGTCGATGTGGAACTGTGATCATCTTTAGAGGGAGAGGCGTTCTGACTTTGAGTATTCTCAGCTTTTTTACGCTGGTTTCTTCCCGTCATTGTAAATTTATCCTCCTGTCATCTTTGAATTTACCAACTTTCAGATTAGGTCTCTTGAGTGGGTGTCCAGGTTGTTAGTTCCCAGGGCCAGAGCAGCGGCGTTAAAACTGATGGTGCTTTTCTGCCCAGGATTCTCCTGTCTAGCTTCCTTCTTGTGTCTGTAGTAGGTGACTCTGCCTTCCCAGGGCTCCAAACCTCGGTCAGAATGGGAACCGGTCCCGTTTACTCTGTGCCGAGCGCTGCCGTGCCGAGGTGCCATCACAGCCGCTGCACAGGGCTCTGGTGTTGTGCTGGGGACCTGTGCAGGTCCTCCAAACCTGTTTACTCTGCTCCGAGAGCTGCCGCGCGGAGGTGCTGGCGGAACCGCTGCGCTGGCCACGAGAGTCACGCTGGCGACCCATATGTTTCCTCCACTGGGGATCTTCTGCTCCGTGAGAGACCAGAATTTGTCTGAAAGTGTGGCGTCCTCTAGTTCTCCACGCCTTCACTGAGAGCTGCAATCCCAGGATGTTAGCGATCGGCCATCTTGGATCGTCCTGGGGACTACAGTTCTATCACGCCTTCCCTACTCCTGATTCTGCTGTATCAATGAACTCTTAATCTACCTCTTCAGTTGTTATACTAGTTACTATAATGGTATGGAGACTGAACTCCCTATATATATCCCTACATATATAGATAAATAATTATGAAGCCCTAGTCACATGGCCCTCAAAAAAGATTAGTTTAAGAACAGTATGGAACCCAATTTTGGCTAATGAAACATGAGGAATCTTCTGGGAGACTTCTAGGCAATTCCTCCTTACTTCTAAAGACACATTCAGAGAAGAAAAATCTACTTTTAGTCCTCTGGAATATCTGCATGCAGTGTATACAGATGTTAAAGCCAATCTGTCGAAGTACAAGAATGAAATCAATTCTATAATGATGACACAGCCGAGAGAAAGAAATGATCGCTGAGTCAAGCAACCATGAAATCCACCTTACCTCTGGACTTCTTGCTATGTGCTACAATAACATTTCCTTACTTTCTAAGCTAGAAACCCTAGCTTTTACATACACCCAAATAGATCATAATTTATAAAGTTGCTTTTACTATAAATTCTGTCATGTGACTCAATTTAAAAGTCAAAAACTGTTTTCGGTGATTTATATATTCACAAGAGACCAAGCAGTTTAGAGCACTCTTCCTAATCTTTCTTTTCTGGGTAATTATGAAGCTCAGTTGTAACCAACCCTTTCAGCTTTCATGTCAGCTGGCTTCAACCAGAAACCTCCATCCTACAGACACACACACATCAAATTTCTTTTTTTCTTTGTCTTCGAGACTTCCCAAAATTCTTGCAAAAAATAAGTCAATAAATACTGTAAACATTAAAGCAAAGCAAAGGTTAAAAAAATATATTGCTTTTAGTACCTTGTTTTAATGTAAAAGAACTTCCTACAACTTTCACAAACTAAAAACAAAAAGTTCACACCTCTGCACCCCAAACAATCTCACCATGCTCCCTATTATTTCTAATTCTTGAAAATTCTTGCTAAGAAGGCCTTCTGCCTTGGTAGGCTTACTTTAGATATATAATTCAGCAAAAAACTCACTCTACTGAAACAATAATGACATTCTCACCTATAAAAATGTAACAGCATCCCTTACAGTGTTTGAAAATCTCAGAAACAAATTATTAAGAAATTTAAAGATGCCTGTGAACCATGTGAGTTCAAAAAGTTACTTCTGTTTAAAGAAGTCAGGCAGTGCTCATATTTCTGTAAGTCTATTTTTGACAAAAATCTAAAGCAAGAGATCAGAACAGTTAGATAAAATTAAAACCATCCAAAAGAAGTTTAAATATCACTAGGAGAAAGCACATTAACAAGTAGTTGTTAATAATTTTTAAGCTATTTAACTAGAATCTCCAGGTCCAGTATCACTTCATTTTTTTTCTATAATTATACTCTACTAAATACATTTCATAGAGTCCTCATTGAGCACAAGCTGTTCTTTTCTCCAGTAACAGTGGATACTCTCTTAAAAGAACACATGATGGCCCAGCCTAATGGCTGACAACTGTAATTCCAGCATTTTGGGAGGCTAAGGCAGGAGGATCATTCAAGGCCAGGAGTTC